CGTGAGGCCAAGAAAACATGCAAGACAAGTAATTCAATAATAATAGCACTTACATAATAGTGAAAACTATAATATTCAAGGAATTTCACAATTTATAATAAACACCCTTGAGTAGGATGCAGAAGCTCTCCGGAGCTAATGATTTTTTACTTTGCCCAAATTCAATTTTAATACCTTCTCATGACGACACCCCGTTCCCCGAGTAGGTAATTGAGTTCGCAGCCCTTCACGTATTCCATGTATGTTTCTGAGACGACTCGAGAGGTATCTCCCACCCAAATCGGTGTGGTACTTACAATCGTTCAGTTAATAGTTCTGAGACGATTCGAGAGGTATCTCCCACCAAATCGGTGTGGTACTTATTATCGTCCAGAGGTCGATGAGACATCACTCCAACGACTTAGAATGCTTTAGGGTTCTGAGACGATTCGAGAGTTACCTCCCACCCAGATCGGTGTGGTATTTGCTATCGTTCAGAGGTCTAGGGTACTGAGACGACTCGAGAGGTACCTCCCACCCGAATCGGTGTGGTACTTACAATCGTTCAGTTAATAGGTCTGAGACGATTCGAGAGGTACCTCCCACCAAATCGGTGTGGTACTTACTATCGTCCAGAGGCCGATGAGATATCGCTCAAATCGACTTATGCAGTCATAGCATATTTTTCAAGTCAAGTCAGGTCAGGTCAAGCAAGTCACGTCAGGTCAAACAAGTCAGGTCAGGCCAAACATGAGTCATTTATTTCAAAGGAGAACGAGTGCGATACAGTACACACTCGGCTCGGCAAGTTTACGTATCATGTATAACACTTGTACAACTAATATCTCAATCACATAAACACATACTTGACACTCACCAATTCAAAGTAATTCGAGCGAGTAAAATTCTTTAGTTGTCCTCTTCGAGATTCCCTTCAAAACTCGTTTGAGTACCTGAAGCAATTAACAAGCATTTTTCACTCATAATCACGCATTAATCAAGAAAGAAGTTATACACATCTAGACTAGTCAATACCTCAAACCAAGAACCTTAACCACTCAAAATAAAGGTTCAAAAGTGAGGTTTTATTAACACAAGGAAAACTAATTTTTTTCATGAAATCGAGTTTAAAGCGACCAATTATCATCAAGAAGGAATAACGAGTTCTCAAATTTTCATTTTTTAAGAAATCGGTAAATTTCAACTTTGCGCGTCAAACTTAGAAAAATCAGATCTTGCACTCAGTAGGTCCAAAATTGGAAAACTTGGTACCATTGAAAACTTCTTCCAAAGTACTAAAAGTTTCTAGAATACACTTCCCATGATTCCTAACGGAAGGCATTCAAAAATTGGCTCAAAGTGGCTGTTTTGGACCATTAAGACAGTTTTGGGTTGATCTTCGGCAAAATTTGGAAATTCGGCAAAATTCACACAATGCGAACTAGCCTCTAAAATTTGGAACTCAATGTTTAAAACACAACAAGCGGAACAAGAATTGGAGTTTTGAGTATCGAGAGACATCAGTCCAAAGTTGATAACATTTCGCAAACTGTTTATTCATTTTCCAGATTCAAAGACTATCTTGGAAATATCATTTGACCATCGATTTGGCATTAGAAATACACTAAAATTGGTATACTAAATCTTCCATGTGTGAACAACATTTCTACCAAATTTCATGCAAAAATTCTCACGAGAAGGCAGTCATTAAAACAACCAAACTTCAAGAAATATTTCAAAGCTAATCTGCCTTCTCACTTTCCTTTTGCTTGCAAACGTCTTGTGCAATGAAATCAGTTCTAAATCACACCATTTTTGAAACCAAGAGTCCATAAACATCCAGTAAGCAATTTAAAGGTAATGAACATCACAATTTTTGAAATATAACTCCCCAAATCAGATTTGACCATTCGGCCAAGAGAAAAGGAAAAGTTTTCCAGATTTGAAAAGCAGAATTTGGGACATCTGTTGGGCATCGAGGAGGACTTGGAATGACACCAAATTTGGCAGTATTATACTACCATATGAGAGCTATTCCTCTGTCAATTTTCATGGAAAAATACGCACGCCAAGTTGGTTAACCAGATCACCAAAGTTTCCAAATTTCCAAGGCAAATCTGCCTTGGACATGAGTTTTCCGTTTTCAAAACATTTGGCCAACAAAAATATCTCAAACATGGTCCTTTTTATGTAGGTAATGTCTAAGAAACATCCAAGATGCATTTGGTAGATGACTAACATCAAGAATTTCGAAACAACAAGTTCCAATCAAGATTTAAACATTTACTAGCCAAAAAGAGGGTTTCACATCATTGAGTCAGTTTCAAACTTTGGCCACAACTCACTCAATTCAACTTGGAATTGAGTTCCGTTGGTGGTGTTGAAAACTAGATTCATAAGGCTAAATTTTCTCAGAAGAAACCGTTTTCAAAATCTGTCCATAACTAGCTCGTTCGTGAGCATCACGTTACAGCTCATGTGCTGCCTTCCAGGAAGCAACGAAACAGGACAGCTAATTTCAAACGAATGGTTTGGCTTGCTCAAGTGGAACCAGGACAAGAATTTTATACCAATGGAAATCTGGAAATGTCTAGTTTCTAGTGCCGTAAACGACACTCGATTCCGACATCAGAGCGATGAGTTATAGCCAAAACAAGATGACTGCCTGGGCAGTGACGGGAACCAATTCCAGATTTCTAAGCTTCCGAAATTCCAACATTTAGGTGACCAAATCAAGTTATTTTTTAATGAAACTTTTTACACACTCGATATAACATGTAAACAACATAAACAAGCCATTAGAACCTCAGAATTTCGCACCAAAGTGCTCGAACAAAGTAGGGGCAAAATGATCACTTTTGGTTATTGCACCACCTTGAGTTTCTATCAACAACCCAACATTAATCCACTAGTTTAGGCACTAAATAAACATTATTACCAGCAAAACACCACAAATCAGTCCATATATCCAAGGTGGGAGTTCATAGAGTCCACACAACCATTTTTCCAACATAAACAAGCTACCCATATGCATGCATGAGTTTAAATGCGCTCTACTACTTCCATAAATCGAGTTTCCAAGGGTTGATCGTTTCTTACTTGTTTAGATGAACCAAGCAGAAATTTCGGTCCAAATGTGCTCAAGAAAAACCACGGACAGTAGCTCCTTTTCTTAGCTAGATATAATCTCCAAGTGTTGATCTAACTACGGTTGAAATTTGAGGTGAAATGATGAAGGTTTAGTGAAGAAATTGAGGTTGTTTTACTCTTCCTCTTGGTCGGCTATTTGGAGCAGAAAAAGAAGAGCTAATGCTGAAGGTAAGCTTCCGTGAGAAGCTTTATAAGTTGTGGCCAAAAGTTGCTTCAAAGTCAACTAGGAATAGTGCGCGCACGCGCGTGTTTTGTGCTCGATTCCTCTTAAGTTTGTTGCACTAGTGCACTAAACCTCTAATACACTTACATTCATATTATTATTATTTAATCTTAATTGTCCCAAAATAATGGTCTAAGGTCCCTCAATTAATCGCGTACACGAAAATGAGTACTTCCAATTTGTGCGCGATAAAGTGGAATTTCCAAGAAATTCTTATAACGATAGTGTAATTAACTAACACTTGAGCATTTAAACATAAAAATACCTATTTTAAGACTAATGTACAAGTCTCCAATTTTTCAAACTTATTGTACCCTCGATTCAATTATTAATTCCAATCGCGTATTCACTATTCTCACTTAACGAGTTTTCAAAAATTAAATTTGGAAACAAATCATTTTAAAAATATATGCAAGTCATTATTCCATATAATTAGGTCTAAAAAGGTTGAAATAAAATATTCAGAGTAAACGGGCAATTAAATATTTAAATAAGTTAGTAATAGGAATTTAAAATAAGTAAATTTTTGCGAGTCCTCACATCCTCTCCCCTTAAGAAAATTTCGTCCTCGAAATTATACTTTGATTGGTGAACAGGTTTGGATACTTTTCTCGAATGGTTTCTTCCACTTCTCAGGTTGCTTCCTCTAGTCCATAATCTCTCTATAAAACCTTCATTAGAAGGACTTGTTTGCATTTTTAACCTCTTCACTTTTCGATCAAAATCTGTACTGGTCTTTTCTTACTTGACCAATTTTCATCTCTTTTACTTCTCCCATTCAAAACTCACACTTATGGAACTTAACTATTCTCAGTTGTCATTCATGATCTTATTACAGGTCTTGAGATATGGAGCAACAGATTACATATACATATAAACCGTAAAATCAATTAGAAGTAAGATAGATTTCATATGCCAAAAAGATCATAATGGTTACACTAAATTATAATAAGTTCATCAAATCATTTCAAAAGAAAAGGGGAATCAACAAAATGAAAACGTGTTAAGTCGTAATATACATCAGAAGGATGTCATCCCTATACAAAAGATTACAACCTCTAAAAGTGTCAGTCTATGCTAGGGTAAAACTACAATCCCTATTTGTCGAGTGGAGTTAGATTTACCCCTACTCATAGAGTTTCTACTACTTGGGTCCCTCTTACAATCATTAGTATTAATCACTCCCTCTGGCACTCGACTGATTTTGCCGTGGATTTAGCAGGTTGTTGAGAATTTCCTTTTCCCTTAAAAGCTTTAAGGCAATTCGAAAACTTATGCTCGATACTGCCGCAACTCAGACATTTTCCTTGTTTTCTCCAGCACTCGGCCTCAGTGTGGTTAATCTGGCCACAGTATCCAAAAGTTACGTGAGGAGTCACGGCTTAACCAGTTTGAGATTTCCCTTTTTGTTGACCTCGTCTATTCCTATTTCCTTTTGACGGGGTTTTGTTTGATAGAGTTTCTCCGGATTTTTCATGCATTTTCACTCCTCCAACCCCTTTTCCATATTAAGGGGTTGGGTAGACTTCTCGAATAGTTTAGGGATATCACTTGGGCTACCCCTCTTTCTAGCATGAAAAGTTTTAGATTGAGATTTAGCATTCTCTACCCTCTGTGCCTTATCCAAAACATCCGTAAAAGTGGTAATCTAGGTAGCTGTTAGGGATTCTTGAATTTCTACATTTATTCCCTGAATAAACCTCCCTATCCTTTTCCGTTCGGTGAGTACAAGCTCAGGGGCAAATTTGAAAAGTTGGGTGAACCGCTCCTCATACTCGGCCACACTTAATAACCCTTGTTTTAACTTAATAAAGTCGTCCTCCCTCTTTTCTTGTATAATTGGTGGGAGGAACTTGACATTAAACTTCCTCTCAAAATTTATCCAAGTCCAAGGGATTTGTTCACTTTCCCACTTTGCACTAACAACATTCCACCACGAGCGTGCTGCCCCTTCAAATTGAAAAACAGCAAAATTCACCTGCCTTTCCTCGGTATAATCTAAAGCAGCAAAAATATCAACCATCCTTTCAAACCAATTTTTCGCTACTTCAGGATCAGACCCTCCATGGAACTTAGGGGAAGCAAACTTCAAGAATCGCTCGAGAGCTCTATCCTCACCCTTCTCTTGGTTCATAAGTTGATCGACTGGTTCAGGTCCCTGACGCTCAACTAAGCGCTCGAGAATATCGGTCATGCGGTTAATGGCCGTAGCCACTTGGTCACCCTCTTTGTTTCTAGGGTTTTGGTTTGGTCCAGTCGCGGACCCCTCACCTCTCTCGGGAGTGCGGGGTTGTCGAAACCCACGCCCACGCCCCCGTTCACGTCCTCGCCGATTCATTTAGCAACCTTCTAAATGCATAATAGAAGTAGAAAGTATAAGCATGCGATCGAAAAACAGGTACACATTGTGAGAACACTTTAAATCAAAACATAACTATTTGCATAAGTTAGAAGTCATGTCACATGTCAATATGCATACAACGAGTTAATAGTATCAAATACAGGTCATAGGCAACTAAGTGCCACAAATATAGTACTTGCAGGCAAAATACAAAAGGTCTCATGGCGAGCACCACCCCTACTATACGAGGCAGGATCAAAAGAAAAATCATAAGCCTAGTTAGGGACAAAACTAGAATAATCCATGATACCAAGCCACATTATTCAAATGATTATAAACTCCAAATTGCATCCAAAAGCCTGAGCTACTTCCTAAATTCTCAGCCTCCTCGCTAGATTCAAGGTGAAAGTTCTTGTACAAGTTAGGGTAATAAGTCAAACCAAACGGAATACAAAGATGTCTCATTTTCAAATTCAAAGTGGAGCCCAAAATTGTTCAAATGGTTCAACTTTTTCGAAATGTTCGACAAGAGTGGGGAAAGCAAGGTTTCTAACCCTTAAACTCACTAGATGGCTATTCAGATTTTTTTTCTTTTTTAATCTTGACCCACCTCCAACCTAACTTGAAGAGTAAAGTCTTATAGTGTTTTGTGAGCAAAAATGGTACTACAACCTCAAGCACCAAAATCACGTTGCACTTAATACACAATCAAATCCCACGGTCCGGCATCCTAACTTTTAGGCTTAGGATACTCTACAAAGATCTAAACCCTAAACTGTGATACCAACTGTGACGCCCCCACTTCTCCCAAGGGCGAACCCAAGGGTATCTGCGGGACGCCTGTCCAACTCTCGCCAGGATTCGGTACAAATTCCAATCAGTACTAAAAGTCGAAAATATAAAGGAAGGTCAATTCCTTAATAATCGATCAAGTCTTACATTATAAGTTACCAAAATATCTTACAATTCCAAAATATAGAGCTTCCAAAAGTTGAGTAAATGAATACATTCAAAATTCTAAAAAAAGGCCATCAAGTCGACCTCTCCATAATTCCTTCCATTTCAGCTCCTGTTAAAGAAAGCAAGTCTAACGGGGTGAAAACTAATAGTGAAAACTATAACATTCAAGAAATTTCATAATTTATAATAAACACCCTTGAGTAGGATGCAGAAGCTCTCCGGAGCTAATGATTTCTTACTTTGCCCTTATTTTGCCCAAATTCAATTTTAATACCTTCCCATGACGACACCCCATTCCCCGAGTAGGTAATTGAGTTCGTAGCCCTTCACGTATTCCATGTATGTTTCTGAGACGACTCGAGAGGTACCTCCCACCCAAATCGGTATGGTACTTACAATCGTTCAGTTAATAGTTCTGAGACGATTCGAGAGGTACCTCCCATCAAATCAGTGTGGTACTTACTATCGTCCAGAGGTCGATGAGACATCGCTCCAATCGACTTAGAATGCTTTAGGGTTCTGAGACGATTCGAGAGGTACCTCCCACCCGGATTGGTGTGGTACTTACAATCGTTCAGTTAATAGGTCTGAGACGATTCAAGAGGTACCTCCCACCAAATCGGTGTGGTACTTACTATCGTCCAGAGGCCGATGAGACATCGCTCCAATCGACTTATGCAGCCATAGCATATTTTTCAAGTCAAGTCAGGTCAGGTCAAGCAAGTCACGTCGGGTCAAGCAAGTCACATCGGGTCAAGCAAGTCACGTCAAGTCAAGTACGTTAGGTCAGGTCAAACATGAGTCATTTATTTCAAATGAGAACGAGTGCGATAAAATACACACTCGGCTCAACAAGTTTACGTATCAAGTATAACATTTGTACAACTAATATCTCAATCACATAAGCATTTAACACATACTTGACACTCACCAATTCAAAGTAATTCGAGCGAGTAAAAATCTTTAGTTGTCCCTTTCGGGATTCCCTTCAAGACTCGCTTGAGTACCTGAAGCAATTAACAAGCATTTTTCACTCATAATCACGCATTAATCAAGAAAGGAGTTATACTCATCTAGACTAGTCAATACCTCAAACCAAGAACTTTAGCCACTCAAAATAAATGTTCAAAAGTGAGGTTTTATTAACACAAGGAAAACTGATTTTCTTCATGAAATCGAGTTTAAAGCGACCAATTATCATCAAGAAGGAATAACGAGTTCTCAAAATTTCGTTTTCTAAGAAATTGGCAAATTTCAACTTTGCGTGTCAAACTTAGAAAAATCATATCTTGCACTCAGTAGGTCCAAAATTGGAAAACTTTGTACCGTTGGAAACTTCTTCCAAATTACTAAAAGTTTTTAGAATACACTTTCCCATGATTCCTAACGGAAGGCATTCAAAAATTGGCTCAAAGTGGCAGTTTTGGACCATTAAGACAGTTTTGGGTTGATCTTCGGCAAAGTTTGGAAATTCGGCAAAATTCACACAATGCGAACTAGCCTCTAAAATTTGGAACTCAATTAGAGTTACAATCAAAGTTTAAAACACAACAGGTGGAACAAGAATTGGAGTTTTGAGTATTGAGAGACATCAGTCCAAAGTTGATCACATTTCGCAAACTGTTTAGTCATTTTCCAGATTCAAAGACTATCTTGGAAATATCATTTGGCCATCGATTTGGCATTAGAAATACACCAAAATTGGTACACTAAATCTTCCATGTGTGAACAACATTTCTACCAAGTTTCATGCAAAAATTCGCACGGGAAGGCAGTCATTAAAACAACCAAACTTCAAGAAATATTTCAAAGCAAATCTGCCTTCTCACTTTTCTTTTGCTTGCAAACGTCTTGTGCAATGAAATCAGTTCTAAATCACTACATTTTCGAAACCAAGAGTCCATAAACATCTACTAAGCAATTTAAAGGTAATGAACATCATAATTTTTGAAATATAACTCCCCAAATCAGATTTGACCATTCGGCCAAGAGAAAAGGAAAAGTTTTCCAGATTTGAAAAGCAGAATTTGGGACATCTGTTGGGCATCGAGGAGGGCTTGGAATGGCACCAAATTTGGCAGTATTATACTATCATATGAGAGCTATTTCTCTATCAATTTTCATGAAAAAATACGAACGGCAAGTTGGTTAACCAGATCACCAAAGTTTCCAAATTTTCAAGGCAAATCTGCCTTGGACATGAGTTTTCCGTTTTCAAAACATTTGGCCAACAAAAATGTCTCAAACATGGTTCTTTTTGTGTAGGTAATGTCTAAGAAACATCCAAGATGCATTTGGTAGATGACTAACATCAAGAATTTTGAAACAACAAGTCCCAATCAAGATTTAGACATTTACTAGCCAAAAAGAGGGTTTCACATCATTGAATCAGTTTCGAACTTTGGCCACAACTCACTCAATTCAACTTGGAATTGAGCGCAGTTAGTGGTGTTGAAAACTAGATTCATAAGGCTACATTTTATCAGAAGAAACCGTTCTCAAAATCTATCCATAACTAGCTCGTTCGTGAGCATCAAGTTACAGCTCATGTGCTGTCTTCCAGGAAGCAATGAAACAGGACAGCTAATTTCAAACGAATGGTTGGCTTGCTCAAGTGTAACTAGGACTAGAATTTTATACCATCGGAAAGCTGGGAATATCTAGTTTCCAGTGCCGCAAACGACACTCGATTCTGACGTCGGAGCGATGAGTTATAGCCAAAACAAGATGACTGTCTGGGCAGTGACGGGAACCAATTCCAGATTTCTAAGCTTCCAAAATTCCAACATTTGGGTGACCAAATCAAGTTATTTTTCAATGAAACTTTTTACACACTCAATATAACATATAAACAACATAAAAAAGCCATTAGAACCTCAGAATTTCGCACCAAAGTGCTCGAACAAAGCAGGGGCAAAATGGTCACTTTTGGTTATTGCACCACCTTGAGTTTCTATCAACAACCCAACATTAATCCACTAGTTTAGGCACTAAATAAACATTATTACCAGCGAAACACCACAAATCAGTCCATATATCCTAGGTGGGAGTTCATGGAGCCCACATAACCATTTTTCCAACATAAACAAGCTACCCATATGCATGCATGAGTTTAAATGCGCTCTACTACTTCCATAAATCGAGTTTCCAAGGGTTGATCGTTTCTTACTTGTTTACATGAACCAAGCAGAAATTTCGGTCCAAATGTGCTCAAGAAAAACCACGGATAGCAGCTCCTTTTCTTAGCTAGATGTAATCTCCAAGTGTTGAGCTAACTACGGTTGAAATTTGAGGTGAAATGATGAAGGTTTAGTGAAGAAATTGAGGCTGTTTTACTCTTCCTCTTGGTTGGCTATTTGGAGCAGAAAAAGAAGAGCTAATGCTGAAGGTAAGCTTCCGTGAGAAGCTTTATAAGTTGTGGCCAAAAGTTGCTTCAAAATCAACTAGGAATAGTGCGCGCACGCACGTGTTTTGTGCTCGATTCCTCTTAAATTTGTTGCACTAGTACACTAAACCTCTAATGCACTTTCATTCATATTATTATTATTCAATCTTAATCATCCCAAAATAATGGTCTAAGGTCCCTCAATTAATCGCGTACACGAAAACGCGTACTTCCGATTTGTTCGCGATAAAATGGAATTTCTAAGAAATTCTTATAACGATAGTGTAATTAACTAACACTTGAGCACTTAAACATAAAAATACCTATTTTAAAACTAATGTACAAATCTCCAATTTTCCAAACTTATTGTATCCTCGATTCAATTATTAACTCCAATCGCGTATTCACTATTCTCACTTAACGAGCTTTCAAAAATTAAATTTGAAAACAAATCATTTGAAAAATATATGCAAGTCATAATTCCATGTAATTAGGTCTAAAAAGATTGAAATAAAATATTCAGAGTAAACGGGCAATTAAATATTTAAATAAACTAGTAATAGGAATTTAAAATAAGTAAATTTTTGCGAGTCCTCACATGGAGACTGGCGTGAAGTGGTGATCTACTGAATTTTGTTATTGTATTCCAAGATTGACGGAGTGTCAACAGTTTTGAGACAAGCGGCCAATGCGAGAAAAACTGTATCCTTCTACTTGAAAGTGCTATTTGATCTTTGCTTGCCCTATTAATGATTTGCCTGGTTGCCGCTATTTTATTTGTTTTGAGATTTGCTACTTTGTTTGCATGTCTCTTGAAACCTCCCTGGACAATGACTGTCCCTTTTAGTTTGTTTTCCTTAGCAGCCGTTGGCAACGTGGAAGCGGGGGAATAGACAGTTCGAGAGTCGATGTCTTGCTTTAAGTAACTTGCCATTCTAGTTGTACTTAGTGATTTGATTAAACAACTTAGATTTTTATCCATTTGATTGTATATATATATAAGTATGGATAATTTGGAATGTTGAATGGTCTATAATATTTAACTATGAAGTTTGATGCTTACTTTGGGGTTAATACTATTGGAGTTTGGGAATTGTTATTATTTTATGACATTCATGAGTGAGTACTGACGAGAGTTGAGCAGGCGGTCTGCCAAACTCTAGGGTACACCCTAGGGAGAAGGTGGGTCGTCACAGAAGTGAATCAAATACTGGTTTTCATCCCAAAATCAGTGCACACCTTCACAGTACAAATCTACAATGAAAACAGTGTTGAAAAATTATTTCCTTGGTATTACAAATACCAAGTTATTCCATTGTGTAATTTTACATTTAACCTTTTTGCCCAGATGAACTATCAAAAAACCGTGCAATCAAGGCTCCACCCAAGTTGATCGACCTCTATTAATTTATCATATCAACATTGATCACCAATTTTCACTCCTAAAAAGTTCCATTCATTTGACACAAGCTAATAGATTATCGCTAAACACAATTGGTACTTTGTAACATTGCAATAATTAAACACAATAAGCAACCATAATAACTAAAACTAACTAATGAGTTAGTGTATCTATTCCATCATATGTTTTTCTTCTCAATGACTTCATTTTTTGCAAATTCAGTAAATGCTTTCAAGATTGGAAAGTTGACACGCTGATTTAGCATGGTTTCTAGAATTGCATCCCAACCGTGTACTTTGTAGAAAGTTTTGAACAATTCAACTACCTCACCTCTCAACAATTCATTATTCTCATAAAATGTTTTGCAATAAGAATAACATCTTCCGCTATTTAGCTGGCTTAGTTTACTTTGAAAACTTTTAACGTTATTTCTGGTTACACTTGAATTCATCAAAGCTAATCGCCTTCTTTTGATTCTTTTAAATTACACAATTTTTTTATAAACTAAGTAATTGTTGAGATAAACTTAATAGCTCATGATTTCTTCGAGTTAAACAATGGTTTTTAGTCAAGGAGTCTAACGTCAAAACTAAAAATTGTCTTACAAATTTTAAACCTATGTATTATTAGATATGACTACATCCCAAGACAAGGATAACCTCCTTCCAACATTTTGTGCACTTCCACAAGTTAAGGCTACTATTTGAATAATGCACCTCTTGATAGATAGACTGCACCTTTTTACCTTTATGATATGAATGTGTTCATCATGCAATTTGAATAACCAGAGGTAAAAGAATATTAAGCATACATCTCTTTTGTTTATTCATATCAATGCAGCTTGCTTCTTCCAATCATCTTTTCAAACAAGCTTTTCATAGGCTCTATTTCACATCAATATTGAAATTATTCCTATTTTCACAGGCTTTTTTCCTATTTTCACATGATATCCCACTTATGTCTTAGATGTTCGATTGAGTTTTTTATTCTCCTCAAACTATTTGTTTTAATATTAAATGTTTCTTTTATGAAGCTTTAATAATTTTCTTTTTTCTATTTGTCATCAACAAATAAAAAGATTCAACCCATTTTCTAAATACTTACCTTTTGTCGTCGTTACAACTACAATATATATGCTTTGCTACAATACTTCGTTCTTCAAATAATTATTATCTTTATTTTCCAAAAGAAAAAAATTTTAGCTATCTTTTGATTTAAGATACTTTATTGTTAAGTTTGCTCAATTGACACTCATATAAAGCCAAAAAAGAAAGAAGTCTCCTATATATCCAATGGTAACTTTTCTAATACTTATAAACAATATATAAGTCCCATAAATCTTAACTTTTTTTTTAAATTATCTTTCAACGTGATCTAAAATGTTATGCATCCAATTTTTTCCTATCAAGTTAATAATCGATTGAAAAGAAATGACCCAAAATCAATGTTACATTATGGTAGCTTTACCACCAAAAAAATTTGCACACTTTAAGGAGATTATTTTAACACTTTCTTCTTCACCCTATAAATATAAATTCTTGATAAAACATCTTTATAAATATATTATCTTAATGATAAGATAAATGTTGTGATTATTTATAAAGTGATATGTATAAATATAAAAAATTCTGCATATACTCTTTATCATTGTAATAGATGATGTTATAATTCTATAACAAATTAAACTGAAATCCTTTTTTTTTTGGAAATTAATTATTATTCAACCAAAAGAGGGAAAGCGTTACAGCACGGAATTCTAGGTTGGGACCCTAAATCTGCGAAAAGACGGATAACCTAAGTTATCCAACCGATATTCACCCCTAGCCATTGTAGGCAACCCAGCAACACTCTCATAAATACAGACCGAATGAAGAGGATGAGCGGAGCCTGTATTGGCCAATACATCCGCGACCTTGTTCGCCTTCCTATAGCAGTGAGTGATCTGAAGCCTGCCCTGAGTCACCTGTTCAATCTTCTCCACCTCTCCCTTGATAGACCACGGACACCGGTAACTTTGGGATAGAATCCGCTGTAACAACAAGGAGTCCGTTTCAACCACCAAATTGCCCATGAAGCCCCGTTGGACACATAACTGAAGCCCTCTCAACAACGCCCTGGCCTCTGCTTGCATGCTGGTACACCTCCCAAGGAAGCTGGAGAACGCAAATACCATGCACCCCGTGAAAGTTCGTAGGATCCCCCTACCCCCACTCACTCCTGGGTTACCCTTCGAGCCATCAATATTGAGTTTGACCACGCTAGGGCCCGGAGCACGCCATCGAATTTGTCGGATGAAGAAAGCGTCTGGCCGGCATTCCACCAACTCGAAGAACGTAGGCCACTCCATCACCCGCTGCAACTCCCCAAATTGTAGACAATACGCATCCTTTAAATCCCGGAAGATGGCCTGGCAGACACCAACAGGATTCGGCACCGTTCCGTTAAATACAGCTTTATTCCTAGCCTTCCACATGTGCCAGCAGCTGAGACTGGGTAAGAGTCAAAACACAAACCCAAGCCGCTTCGATTTCACCTGCCTGAGCCACTAACTACCCATCCAACCACGGACATGTCCAGCAATCGGAGCCAACCCACACGTCGGCCCAAAAAACCTCCACACCGCAACCGCTAGATCGCCCTCCAACAACAAATGACGAAGGGACTTAACATTCGATAACCAACAGCAAGAGCACTTCGAAGCAAGCTGAAACCAGCGCGTCACCAGGACGTCATCCAGCGGCAGGCGATTACGCAATAAGCGGAGCATAAAGAATGACACCTTTAAGGGCAATTGTGCATGCCATGCCTGCCGGAATAAGAGAGAAGGCGGCTTCGTCTCACGGATCTCGTTATAGGCGGAGGACAACGAGAACTTACCCGAACTCGTCGCAGTCCAAATCATCCAATCAGGGGAATTTCCACACGGTCCCGCCACCGCCAGCACCTGCTGGACCATGTCGATTGGCAAAATTTCTGCCAACCTCCACGTGACCCAGTCCCCATCCGCCAGCACGTTGGAAAACGACACATCCCCCCTAACCTCCACTCTAAGGTAGAGGGCCCCATGCCCAATCCAATTATCATACCAGAAGTTGCATCGACCATCACACAGGTGCTAACCAATACACAATTCAGCCAACCCCCTAATATCGAGGAGACGTCTCCAGGTTGCTGAACATAAGGGAGACATGGAGATCTGACAGGGGTAGAGCCCCTTGCAATATTTGGACTGAAGGAATCTCGCCCACAAAGAGAGACCGCAGCGAAAATTCCACCACAACTTACAAGAGAAAGCCTTATACGTGCTACTTAGTGAGCGAAAACCCGCCCCACCTTCCTCGGTGGGGTAACACAAGTCCCTCCACCGGATCCAGTGAAATTTCTTTTTCTCGTCCCTGGCACCCCACAAGAAGTCCGCACATACTCTCTCAATTACCCGAAAGATACGTTTTGGCATGACACTCATCGCCAACAAATGAGTCGGGATGCTGGACAGGACAAGTTTAATCAAGACAATTTTCCCTCCATACGACAGAAGCCGTGATTTCCAAGAAAGCACCTTATCCAGGATCTTATTACACAAGTCAGAGAAATAAGCCTCCTTGGCTCTACCAACAAACACCGGGCCACCCAGATAACGAACCGGGAAATCATGTTTCCGAAACTTTGTTATCCTCTCAATCACACCCTTTCGAGCCACTGTTGTCAGAGGATGGACTAGGTAGCCACTCTTTTGCACATTAACTAATTGGCCAGAGTCGTTTTGGTACCATGCCAGGATCTGCATGATTCTCTTTAAGGACGCCGCCCCTCCATTGGCAAAAATTATAACATCATCTGCAAAGGCCAAGTGAGTAACAGACAGGCAATGCCGCGGGACCTTGTAGCCCACAAATTCCGACTGAAATACAAGCGACTCTAAGCCTCGGGAGAGCACCTCCTAGCCAATAATAAATAGAGCTGGCGATAATGGGTCCCCTTGGCGTAACCCTCTAGAAGATTTGAAGAAGCCATATGGCACCCCATTTATAAGTACAGAGAACCAGACATTGGAAATTAGCTTCCACACCATGTCAATGAATCCCTCTCCAAACCCAAATCGGCGCAAGACTGCGATAAGGAATCGCCAAGAGACCCTATCATACGCCTTAACCATATCCAACTTAAGAGCCAAATTCCCCCCTGCACCTCCTGCCCATATCTGACATCAATTCCTGCGCCAACAAATAATTATCCGATACGGACCTTCCCTTCACAAAGCCACTTTAGTGGGGAGAAATAATCCGAGGGAGCATGTCTGCCAGCCGCCCCACCAGAATATGAGATATAACTTTATTCAAGAAATTGCAGACACTGATAGGACGGAATTGAGAGAAATCCTTCGGGTTCAGGACCTTGGGAAGAAGCACAATGGACGTCGCCGTAATAAAACGTGGGAGCTCTGCACCACAGAAAAAACTTAACACCGCCCTATAAACATCTTGAGCCACCACCCCTCAGGCAGTCGTAAAGAATTTCCCTGAAAACCCGTCTGGACCTACGGCACTGTCTCCATCCATCTCGAAAATCACCTTCTTGACCTCCTCTATGGAGGGAGCCGCCTCCAAACCCACATTATCAATATCAGCACTCAGATTAGGGATCACATGAAGAAGCTGGAACTCAGATACCGGATCGACTGAAAACAGGCGACTAAAGTGATTGACAGCTTCTTGCCCTATCCCGTCAGTATCCATCACCCACTCCCCCCTGGCATCCTGTATCCTATGAATTGTCGCTAGAAAACGGCGTTGCTTGACTACCGAATGAAAATACCTGGAGTTACGATCCCCATGTTGCAACCACTTAACCCTAGCTTTCTGGCTCCAGAACTGCTCTTCAACAGCAAGTAGCCTATGCAGAGAGGCCTAGGCCCGTTGAAGCTCCAAATGGGCCTCAATGGATAGGTCAGACTGCACCCTAAGCTCAGCCGCTGCTACCACCGCCTCTCCCTGTTTAATATTCTCAAAGATATCGCCAAATACCTGCTTGTTCCATAAGTGCAGGGCACGGGATATATTCTTTAACTTCCCCCAGACCACACAGAAAGGGGAACCGGACACCTCAATTTGCCATGCTGTCCTTACCACATCCAGAAATCCCTCCTTAAAAGGCCACATGTTCAAAAACCGAAAAGAACGACACCGGGGGGTAGGTTTAGGAATGAAAGATAGCAACAACGGGGCATGATCAGATGGAGCCCGCACCAAGTGGGATACAGAGATAGACAAGGAGAAATTTAGACACTCCCCATTGATTAAAATTCTATCCAGACATTTCCAAATGCGGGCACGCTCGAGTCTATTATTACACCAAGTGAAACTATGACCAGAGAAACCAGCATCAAACAACCCACCGTCACTCATAAATCGAGACAGTTCAACTCTCTCCCCAGGCCTAAAGTGTCTCCCCCCTTTCTTTTCACTGGCCGAGAGAATAAGATTGAAATCCCCAACAACGTACCATGGCCCTTGCCCTGGCCTATCCCGCAATAGGCCCTCCCAGAGCCGTTGCCGGTCAGACATCAGACATTTCGCATGAACAAAAGAGACTAGAATAGGAGTAGGGAACTGAAGATGTGTCCAGCGAATAGAGAGGTGTTGATCCGACTCCCCAACTAACTGACTAACAAAGGGGACCCTAAAGAAGACCCACGGATCCCCTGACGAGTTACACACAACAAAATCAAAATTTAAGCGTAAGCGAATAGATTCGACTGCATCCCTTGATAATTTGGGTTCACAGATCCCCACTACCGATAGCTTGTGTATGTGAATCAGTTTTTTTAGTCGTCTAAGATTAGGAGGCTTAGATATCCCCCCGAATATTCAAAAAACATGCACTAATCATGAGATAAGACATGAAAAGAATTTTGAGATTTTTTGGCTACCGACCTCAGTTCTCTATCCGATGGGATCATGGCCCGGTTTCCTCGCCCCTTCACCTTTTGAAACCTAGGATCGAGGGTGGAGACTTGGTCAAGGTGCAAGTTCTCAGTCACATCACGTGACTCCCCCCCCTACTGTGCTGCCCACCTAACCCCCGCGGCGAAAGACAGCATGCACTAGTGATGTTGCTAGTAGAGACACCCGTTTGCACCTCCTCGTCCTCTTCCTCTCCAAGGGCAGCTGGACCGTCACTCAAGACTGCCCCAGCAGCACCCACGTTCTCCTCTTCACAAACCACCCGCGTAGCAAGGTCTATGATGATCGTATCAGCCGCTGCAACAATTGCATTCTCCACCAGTTCGGCAGCCGTACCCATGCTATCCAGCCCCTGTCGTACCTCCTCTCCCTCACACCCATCATCCAGCGTTGCCCCACCAGCATCCTCCATCGCAGGCTGCCCAACAAGGTCCTCACTCCCCGCAGGATTTTTTCCCCCCGCAGGTGCATGAGTAATCCCCAGCTCAGCTCGCTGATCGATCACCTCCCCAACGTACCATTGCGTGATGGCAGCCCCTTCCCCTCATCCGGTACTTTCTTCTCCTCACGAACTGGGCGCAACTCTTGGTTTTTGACATGGCACTCGGACTGGCTGTGGCCTTGACGAAAGCAGTGGCTACAATATTTCGGCACAGTTTCTGGGTTAAGCGGCTGCCAAAACCCATGGACCTCTCCAAGTTGAATCCAAATACAGGAAGGAAGCTCCTTCAGTAAATCAATTTCAATGCACACCCAAGCTACACTCGATCTAGACAGAGCGGCGGTCGCGGTATCGATGAACAGAGGACGCCCCAGACACGATACAATCTGAAATAAACATTGCTTATCGAATAAATCAACCGGAAGTTTGGGAAGGCTAAACCAGACAGGAGTTAGCGAGGATTCCTTGTCTACGTGGAAAGAAGTCGTTCAATTAAATACGCGCATCGCACTGCCGTGGATATACCAGACATTCCGCGTCCAAATTCGCATGAAATCTGCCTCATTATGGAGTCTAATCAAAACATGTAGGCCATCCAGCAGGCCAATGGAGTAAGAACCCTTTAAGTCCAGTGACAGGAAGAATTTTCTGATGTCTGCCATGGCAGGTCTGGTGCGAGAGAACTTGCCCACGAGAGCAAATTGGAACGGTTGGGCTACAGCTTCAATGGCGTCGCGGGCGAAGGAAATTGCTGGTTCCCCACGATGGGTTGATAGTGTCGCTTCAACATGCATTTGATGCTAGGAAGAAGAAGAAAATAGGTCGGAGAAAGACTTTGCCCGGAAGCCAGGGGAGCCGGACGGCTGCCCACCCCCGCCAGGAGGCTGGGCACCCACTGCCGCCATTGGAGGATCGCCAGAAATAGCCAAGGTCGCTATGGTCACATCGGCGGCTAGGGCTAATATTTGGTTTCTAAAGTTGAATCAGGATAACATGTCAAATCCATTGATTTACAATATTTTAGTGTTTTATTTTAACAATTTTGATGGCTTAAGTTTGTTTTTAAATTTAATCTCTACAACTGTCAAATCAAAGAATGGAGGTGTAATTTTTTCAATCATTAGATGAGGTCGATGAAAATTTCTAAAGGTTCAGGGAAGTTGTCTGAAACTATTCTCTATTTTAAATTTTAATTTGGTTATATGAAGTCAAAGTACAACTTTTGTTCTAAACTATTGACAGCTCATCCGACACTGCACTTCATACTTTCTCCCCAGCCATGTTTGTTATCTCTGTTTGATGTTACTTTTCAAATGAAAACCAATTCTTTTTACTCCTTGTTACAGTTGTTATGCTTATTCTGCTTCTTCTTCCTAGTGAATTTTTTTTCTGTTTCATTTCACTACATGCATTTGGATGGTTCTCTTTTACAACCCATGTGTTTTTTCCATTTCTTTCTGAATTTCTTACTAGCATCTTTCCTCTCGTATTTATGTGTTTTCCCTTGCTATTTCTCTATTTTTGTTTTCCATTGTATCGTCAGGAAATTTGTTGTTCACCATGTGTTTGATTTTCACTTTTAAAGCTTTTTCCCATTTACACATACCTTGTAAGATTAATTTTCTATTCTTTGGTTCTTCTAATATTACACTTTTCCAATTTAGGTCCAACCTTTTTCTTAGTTTTCTATTATCACGTATTTAGAGTTAGATGTTTTCTTTCCTTTTATTATATATTGTTCATTTTTCAAATTATAGCTATTGGGAATGCAGCTGCTATCTTCTAAGTTATTTAGTTGCTAAACATCTTCGTTCATGATCTCTTCCGTTGCCTTTTACAAATTTTAGAAGTTTCTCATCACTATAACTTTTATCTTTCTAATCATTCTTAATTAATCATATGTTTTACTATCTTTATTTATTTCTTCTCTACAATTTTTCAGATTTTTTTTAAGAGTAATCTTATATATACTGACAGTGTATACACTGTCACCGTTTGATTCATGACATGCGTGCAAAAGTTAAATTTCAAATTCAAATTTTGCATAGTTATCATTCATCCAACATTGATAGTGTATACATTGTCTGTATATGAAAAATTAATTCTTTTTATAATATGAATAATATAGTTGTACTACCATTAACTATTATTTTCTACATACCAATACATTTTACATAGCTAAGATAATTTTTTAATTGCTAACTCATATCCGTTGTTAATATTTTTTTCTTGCTCTTTCTTATTCCATTTTGGCTCTGAATTCCAAATTTTATAATTTACATAAATACATAGCTAATTATATAGTTTACATAAATTCATAGCTTTACTCAAACTTTCATTTCATCATATTGCTGTTTATTTATTTGATATAGTTATAGAGCATCTAAACACGGACACCTGGAGAGTTGAATGTGAACATTGTCAAGCTTACGTTCTTCTTTTACCAAGGTATTCATAGTTATTTAATTGTCCTGTTTAGTTTACTCAACGGCTTCATCTAATGCACACTTTTTTATAAAAGTTATCTTTGCTTCTTCTTTCCAGAGCTTGTATTACAATTTCAATTGTTGATTCAAGTGGATCTTTGACTGCCACTGCCATGGGAAATAAAGTCGAAAGATTATTTGACTACTCAACTGTTGAACTCCATTATTTGTATGAAGTGGTAATTCCTAATCAGTTTCCAAGCAGAAATGTTTTCTTCCTTTTTTTTTCTCATATTAATTGTTTCTTTTCTCTTTGTTCAAACTGAGAATTGATATGACTACATATCTCATACGTACTTTGCATGGAAAGATGCATATATTCTACATTAAACCTTCTGCTTCCATATTTGCACGTATTAAATCTGTAACGTGTGAGACAATTACATTGTACTCTATAGATGAAGCCATGAGCATCGACAATGTGAACTTCAACAACTGAGCTTGTATTCGCTTACCTCTAGTGTTTAGAATATTTGCAACCAGATGGCTACAAGAATCTACACTATATCTCTATATTTTGCACTTTATCTATTATGCATAAATATAGCTATGATTCAACAATTTATATATGGTATGTATTATCGTGTTTTTTGGTTGCATGTTTTTCCATTTCTCGATTATTAGCCTTATCACACAAATTTCGAGAATGGGGCATAATTGGGCATATAAATTTTAGAACTTTCCACCGCAAATTTGCGCGATGAACCCCTCCTAGTTTAGTATTAAGAACAAATATTGCAGCTATTATCGAAAGGCAACAATCAAAATTTTTAAGAATGAAAGGAACCAAACAAGTTGTATTTTTGTTGCCCGAAGTGTAGATGTTTTGAATAATATGAAGTTCC